TCTTGTATAATAACTTTAAAAGGTAAAGATTTCTGGAAAGTCTCGAACTCATTTTAAACTCCCTTCTGGACGTAGACCACAGGATAGTCAGACAGTAAATCTGTTCTGAGTCGAAATCTTTCAGGAGTCTGTGTTTTATAATCTATTAGTAGGTAGCTGAAAGGAAGACTAGTTGCATCCTGGTAAGCTTCAATAAAAAACTTTGTATTACCGGGAAACATCTGACGACCCAAAACACCTATCTGTTGCTTATCTCGGGGGTTTTTAAATATTATTAAATAATTTGTATTAAGTCCTATTGTTCTGGTAGATTTACCCTGGAAAAATAGATTCTGTATCAGTAGCAAACAACTCATATTTTTATGATGGATGTATTGCGTAAAAATCTTCTCGACTTCAGAATTGGACGCTGCTTGACCCATAACGTCGTCCAAAATTAATAGGGATCTTTTACCAGGTGGGAATAATGAATCATCATCCAATTTCTTTGGGATGTTTTCAATGAATTTAATATCAAAAGCATGTAACAGTTCATCATATAAAGGCTGCCAGCATGTATAAATGTACACATAATTATCAAACTTCACAGAACACATTTTGTCCGAATTATACATTAGAGTCTTTACAAAAAAAGTCTTCCCACTATTGCTCGGACCACTAATAACAGCCGAAAACGGGTGTTGCAGTCTGCAGTCAAAAACATCTGTTTCACACATTTTCAAAGTATTGTTAAAACCCGTAAGGCAAGGTCGTATAATCTGGTTGGAGTACTCGCTTATTGTACACAAGTCTGAAACTTTTCACAATTGATCTGTTGTGCAATGTGAAGGTCCTCTTATTACGTGTAATGGTCTCTGTGCGGGGGAACAGCTCCTGAGTGTCACCGGTCTCTACATACGCACAGACTAACCCTATCAGACTCTGTAGTGTGACTATCTGTGCATTATTTGCGTTGAGTGTAATACCCTTCGCTTTGAGACACGTATGTCCGTTTGCCGTTCTAAACCCATACGACTTGGGACCTGATGATGCAAACTCAACCACGCTGTCGCCTGTCGCTAATTCGCTCGTTAATTGACCGAGATAAGATCCTGTCTCGGGAATCCAGTCGCCGTTTTTTGACACAAAGATCACAGAATCTGTATCTGCGTACAACACACGTTCGCCTAATTTATCCAAAAGATTATACAGCTCGAGTCGCGCGTAAGCTGTGGTGAAAGCGCCAATAAAGACATTAACGTCTCGTGTCGGGCACGGATCGCGTTCTGCATAGGACCACTGAATCAATGCCACTGAATCAGATACAAACGAAAAGTGTTTTATAATTCGGCCGGCACCTCCAAAAAGACACTGTGTGAATTCTTCAGGCTCTGTCAAAAGCTCTGTGGTAGGCAGATGAGTCCTGAGAGAGAAGCGGCCCCACAAAGTGTTCAAAATAAGCTTGCTTATAGATCGTTTTGCGGGGTTATGGGCTATATTAGCGATGTCTAGCTGAACGCCCTGTTTATCCAGATAATCATCGACATAAGACTGTTTGTCCGCATCTGTCACTACATGTGAGGGGAAGCCTGACGCCTCCTGTTTGGATTTTAGGAATGTTTTGACGTAATCGGTAAACAATGTATCAGTCGACTGCGAAAAATGCCAGACCTCGTGTATTTTGATCACATGATACCCGTGTTGAATAGCTCGTTGTAATTCAACGCTGACCCATGTAGCAGTGATACTTCTGTCGACATCAGTATGACTGCATTGGGGGTCCTGAATCTGATTCTCTGCACAAGTCCTGCATAAAGGAAACATTAGTTTACCACCGCATCGATAAGGTAGAACAGGATGAAATAGCTTACGAGGCGGTAGCACTGTCGCTTTAATTAACCCGAAATAATTATCTATTTCTTCAAAATCGTCAAAAATAATCTTCGGGTGTCCGATGGGATAAGTCTTACTCGACTGTACGTACGGGTAGAGCGATGTGAAATCATAATAATCCACTCGTTCATCATCAGCTGTTTTGTGGTACAACTTAAACGCATTCGTACGTCCACCAAATAATGCATCCCGGGGTCTGAGCCTCTCAGGTGCTTCGTAAGATTCCATAAACTGAATGACATCATGATTTGTTTGTTTAGCATGATCCCATTCGCATTCCCAGATAGTAATCACTCGTAAGGAATACACTTTACGAAGTGTTTCTATCTTTTCATCCGATTGCCTTCTGAGAGTACCAAAAGATACTTTTGATAAAGGCTGAATTTCTTCCGGCTTAAATCGACAATCGTGTCCATGGTAAAAACAGCCCAAGAACTCCAAGGCTGTTTTTACCCCATCAACAGACTCATAATAACCATCAACATGATAAGGTCCGAAGGCATGCTCTCCGTGGTTTAAGGCATGCTGCACGGGTACGCCGTCCTTACTTTTAATAAATTCTAACCACTGAATTGACTTGTTTGAGTACGTTTTGTATTGATTAATGTATGCGTGACTATGTGTAAGTGCAACTGTATCCCGACTCAAAAAGTTTGTTTTGAATACTTTCATGCATGTTCCGGCCAATGTCACAGATTTAAACGGATCAATGTTTGTACATTCGATGAACTCTTTGCGATATTTTATACAGGCCTCTCGAAGGATCACAACGTCATTCCGACAGTAAAAAGCAAGCTCTTTCTCGAAGTCAAAGACGTCGTTCAATACGCCTGTGTACCACAAATCAAATCTGACACGTTCGATTTCGCTCATCGTTTCATAACCGTAAAGCTCTTTTGCAGGATAGGGACCCACATAATTTGCATTCTCTAATCTGTTGAAATGATGTGGAAAAAAACCCTTATCATTCACCGTCAGGTTTAATGCAGCCGGGACCTTTTTAAGCGAAAAAGGGAGAAACTGGAAACTGTCCACGTATCTCTGTCTAAACGCCGCATCGTACATATGTAATATTCTACACCCCTGCATAATAACCTTTGGAGTTATGCCTTCGCTGCTAAAATACTGTAACAGAATGTAGGAATCAAACCCCGAAGAATTGTGCGCTATGAATGTGTAATCATTGTATTTTGGACGTCTGAAATGTTTAATCAGACGTGCCACACAATCTGTGCCTCCGGCTTCAAACGTCTCGCCTGTCTGAGTCATTGCACATACAAAATTAGCCACATGTTTATCATCCTGGTACATAGTCTCAAAGTCGTAATAAATGTATTTTTCATCACACATTTCAGACTTTAGAGGCTGAATGTAACATTCGTGACTACCTTCGCTTCTCAAAATCTCGTTGCAATGTACACACCTCTCTGGAGAGCACTTGTGTGGTTTGGTTTTATCACCAGATCTTGCAACCCTATACAATTTTTGACATTTAGTGCAGTATTTTATAGTGTCACATTGCGATTTTTCAATGGATGTACGCTCTTGTTTATGTGCTTCGTAACAAAAGGTGTTTCTGCAGTATCTGAGGCAGTCTGGACATTGTCTATTGGATGTTGTCCGTGTGCGACATTCGGATGTGTTACAAATATTACAGACATATCTGCATTTATGATATCTCTTGTCGTTGAATCCACGCCAACAAAATTGGCAGACATAACTTGTACCTAAGAAACCTTTCAAATTTTTTATCAGATAGTAATGATCTTCATGGATAAATAAATGCACAGTTTTTGGATGTATTTCATCTGTGTTTTTGTAGACCTGTACCTTTCCAGAGCAGTCTCTGTGAAAAACTACAATTTTTAAATTTAATTTTCTTTCGAAAATGTTGAGATCATGAAATCCTATTTTATCATGTGGTGCAAATCCACACTTTGTGTGTATGTCTTTTGCTGATTTTTGCAACTCTTGATCTGTTAATGTCGGATTCAAAAAATATGCCAGACAATAACTAAGGCACATGTTGTCGTTCAGATTCGTCGGACAAAATAAATTCATTTTATTTCGTTTGATAGTGTCACTGATGGCAATACTCGTGATTCTCCTACGACCACCTCCCTGATGATCCATAGCTACAGAAACTCTTAGAGATAAAGAGTTGTCTGTTGACACGTCTCTGTTGCTTTGTGCAGCGCGTTCAATTTGGTCAATGAATAATGATGGATCATGATTGCTTTCTGGTGTTAACACAGCATTTATAGACGTAGGTAAGCTGTCACCAGTTAGTGCTATATTCACATACCCCGTATCACCGGCCGTCAGTTGAGAAAAATGCACAATCTCGTTTAAAATATTGTGTAGACGATGATTAAAATCAGCCAAATCGTTTGTATCTATTTCACGGAGATTCAGTGTCCTTTGGATTTCAAGTCCGTTGAAACGTGGTCGAGGGGTTATTACGAAGTCGCCTACACGTCCTCCCTCAGTCGTCAGCGTATGAATTTCGTCCTGACTAAGGCCCATATTAGGGAGCTGATGATTATAATTCGAAAACCCATTACCGGACTGGATGGTTTCATGATCATCATCATCCCCGTCTAGCCAGGATCGCTGTTCGGCGATAAGATTTTGCAATCTTTCCCTAACTGAAAGTCCCGTAGTGTCCAGTGCGTTTAATTGTTCACTTATTAAACAACGCAATTGTTCATTATTTCCATCATGTCTCGACATGATACATTCGTCAGAGTCGATATTAGGAATGTGGTGATGATGATTCGAAAACCCATTATCGGAGTGGATGGATTCATCATCACCCATGTCTAGCCAGGATCGTTGTTCGGCTATAACATTTTGCAATCTCTCCCTTACTGAAAGTCCTGTAGTGCCAATTGCTCTTAACTGTTCACGTATTAAACGTTGCAATAGTTCATTAGTACTGAGATGCCTCGATCTTATGTGTTCTACATCTTCGTCTGAGTCTGACTGCATATCAGTGTAAGATCTTTTAGAAGCCATTTTGTTTTAATGTGTTACTAGTAGACTATAAACGAATACTCCAACACCATCACCATTCATAGATAATAGTAATAGCTGGTGGGTAATGTTTAACAACAAACCATAGCAGTATTACAAATAACAGTCAAATTAATAAAAACAAATAAAAAGTAATCATCAAATATGAAAACTAGAGAATGTAAGATTTCAAATGATATGTAGTTTGTCAAGATTAGTCTAGGTAATGGTTTTTGGGGATCCCACCGCTGGGGTTGGTGACGCTGAAGAGATTTTAATAACAACAACCCATACTATTATTACAAATAACAACTGTAAAATAACAGTCAAATGAATAAAAATAATAACAATCAAATTAATAAAAAGAAATCAGTAATTATGATATATTGCATAACTTGCGTTGTGTCTTTTCCATTGATAATCTGGATAACATTCATTTAAAAGGTGCTTTGTTACCAATATTAGTTGCTGTCAGGGGTTTCACGGTTGTCCTTCAGCGCGGTTAACAACAACCTGTTATAGAAATAACATTCAAATTAATAAAAACTAATAAAAAGTAATCATCAAATATTAAAACTAGAGATAGTGAGATTTCAGATGATATGTAGTTTGGACTTAGAATACATTATTACTAAATATATAGAGGTAATCTACAGTCCGTACCAATAATACAACAGTCAGGTGAATAAAGTCAAATCAATATTTGTATAATATTTGTTACCTTATCAGCTCAGCTGTTGTTCATGATGTATTTCACGATTCCCCTCTGGTGTTAAGGATAACAACAGTTCACGCTGTAATAGAAATAACAGTCAAAAACAATCAAACAAATAAAAAGTAATCATCAAATATTAAAACTAGAGATAGTGAGATTTCAGATGATATGTAGTTTGGATTTAGAATACACTATTACTGAATTTAAAGGTAATCTACAGTCCGTATAATAAAAATAACAGTCAGGTGAATAAAGTCAAATCAATATTTGTATAAATATTTGTTACCTTTATCAGCTCAGCTGTTGTTCATGATGTATTTCACGATTCCCCTCTGGTGTTAAGGATAACAACAGTTCACGCTGTAATAGAAATAACAGTCAAAAAACAATCAAACAAATAAAAAGTAATCATCAAATATTAAAACTAGAGATAGTGAGATTTCAGATGATATGTAGTTTGGATTTAGAATACACTATTACTGAATTTAAAGGTAATCTACAGTCCGTATAATAATAAAAAAACAGTCAGATGAATAAAGTCAAATCAATATTTGTATATTACCTTATCAGATGTTGTCCAGAACGCTTTTTCACGATTATCCTCCCGTGTTTAAAAACCGTTACAAGTTCTCTGTTTACATCCACTTAACGTTGCGCACCCTGTTGAAATTATAAGACTTCATGTCTCGGATTTCCTTGTGGTGAATGCATGATATTCCACAAATGCCGAAACGACATAATCCTCAAAATCCAATGAGCTGTTTTCGTGATTCAGAATGAACAAACCTGATGATAAATCCACATATTTCCTCGCGCTGGAGAGGACACTGATAAAACACCCAATGACACGTTTTGTGGATCAGACGCTATGATTGAACAGATCGGTGATAAAGCACATAATCCAATGAGCAGTGCGATGAGGAGATCATTGATAAATTCTCATATTTCCACAGGTGTACCCAGCGTTGATAAAACACATAATCCTTACTGTTGAAATTATAAAACTTCATGTCTCGGATTTCCTTGTGATGAATGCATGATATTCCACAAGAAACGGCATAATCCTCAAAACCCAATGAACTGTTTTCGCGATTCAGAATGAACAAACATGATGATAAATCCACATATTTCCACACGCTGAACAATGTTGATAATCCGATGAACTCCACTTTTAAATTAAGCTCCCAAATTAACACAATAATAAATCCGTATAGATCCAAAATTCAATCCGCGGACCTGATCCTTAAAATCCACACTGTCTGCACTCAGTCTGTGAGCTCATGGTCTTTTAAAACGGACGCGGCCAGAGTATGGGAGGAGTTTACGTGCGAGTGTGTGTATGTGTGGACCAATCTGTCGCTCGTACAGGTAGTGAATAGAGCGTAGACCAATCCACCGTGCGCGCGTCATCTAGGGCGTGCAAGGAGGAGGAGTCAACCCCTGGGCCCGTGTGCTCTGTTCAGCGGTTGCATTTCGGACAGCTCTTCAAGGTGAGTGGTCGCTTTTCTCAGAGCTAGCGCTGACATGTGCTGTGATTTTTCTCACACCTCTTGTTTGGGAGGGATCTAAGAGGCGGAGCTTGAACCAGGTCACAGTAGAGATGTTGGATATGTCATTGCTCTCTCTGACTTCGGCCTGTTAGGACGTGCTTTCTTGGGCTCCCGGGATTACATTTACACAACTTTGAACCGGATAACTTTTGGAATTATCTAAAGTTTTGGATATATACCTTTTGGATAAAGCGTTGCAGTCGGATATACCTTTTGGATAACCGCTGCTGTTGGATATATCTTTGGAGGTGATTAATCTTTAAACGGGATAATTTTGTTCTTCTTTCACCAACAAAACAGAACGTAAGTCAGTTTTTATGTTTTTAAGTTTTGATATCCTTTAATAATTGTTTGATGTAATGTAAATACACACTGTTTTAATATGCATTTTGATAATGTTTATTAATTATTTATTTTTACGTCTAAACAATTTAACATTTTAGTGTTTGAACAACGATAATTATTATTATAATCAATATTATTTAATACTTTTAAACTGTGTGTAATTGTGTAAAAGTACATCATCAAATGTGGTTCGTGGGATAATTTTCCCACGATCACATGACCTCTCCAGAAGCGGAGTTGGTGGTGGTGAGGGGTTCCGTATCGTGGGAAAATTTTCCCACGATCACGTGACCAGTCCAGAAGTGGAGGTGGTGGTGAGGGGTGGAAAGAGGAGGGGAGACCGTGGGAATTTCCCACGGTCAGACCGGAAGTGAGCGGGAGGGGTAAAAAAGGGGCGGGGCTTATTTTTATGAGGGCAATAAATCACTCAAAGTGGCATAAAGTGCCCTGTACTCTCTCTACCGTACCATGTGGTAATTAGTACTTACCTTATACCATTGAATTGCAATAACACTTAAATGTCAGGGCAAATATACTGTGTAATTAAAACGTTTTTTTTTATAACAGTAGCTTTCTCTGCAATTACAGTGCAAATAATGTTGTTTCGTATTGCTACATAGTAAGTAGCTTTGTTACCCCCTTGTTCTGCGTAGTTACAGGGTAAGTGTAACTCCTGTGGGCTGTAAATTAAAGTAGTGTTTGTTACCCCTTTATTACCCAAAACTTAACATATTGTTCCCTTATACCTACACGGAAGTACACTATAATTACAGAAATGTACACCGTATTTTCAGTGTACTTACACAGTTGTTTGTGGGTCGTAAAATAAAGTGTTACCCAAATTTGTACACAAATAAAACAATAAAACTGCCCAGGATAACAGAAACTACAGTTCTGAACTCTTTTGTGTTGAAAGCATACATTAAACTCTCTTGTCTTTTCCATACTGTACGTTCCCTTCCTCCTTCTCTTCCACCTCCACCCCCATCTCCCTAGACAGCTTCTAGATTCAGCTTTCTTCCCTCGCACAGCTTCTTTGTTTATCCTTTAAAGGGTCACTTCACCCATTTGCATTAAGCTTTGTATCTTTAGAAACCCAGTCATATTTTTGAATGGTCATTGTTTATTCCCTTATTCCCCCCCCCCCCCCCCCCCCCGAGATTGGAGAAATAAGGATTTAAGTGTTTTATTTCCTGAAAAAACGTCACGATAAGCAGGAAGTCACATTTCATTGAAATGTCAACAGACTACACTGATTAGCTCATTATTATTCAAGGGTGTGGCACCCACTCACCCACAGGCCTATTACAGAGATCAGTGGGTGGGACTTCACTTGCAGAGACTGAAATCAATATCCGCGCGCCATCTTGTTTGGAAGCTAAGCTAACAAGCCCTGTGGAGATATGAAGTTATGATAATGATGGAAGAAACTAAACATGATATGCAGTGTTGTAGACTCGTCTCGGACTCGGTCTCGAGACCATATTTTAATGGTCTTGGTCTTGTCATGGACTCGTGTCCATTTGGACTCGGAATTGACTCGTACTCGAACATTTTTTTTTTTTAGGACTCGGAATTATTCCCGAGTCCACTTGAGTTCAATTAAAAATATTTTTCATGATTATTAATGTATGTTAATAAAATATTTCTTTAAATTGATTGACAAGCCCAGTGATTGGTGATTTTCTAGTGCGCAACTGTGCATGACAAATTGTAATAAAATTACTTTTAACACCACCTACTATGTGGCCTTTAAGTAAATTCAGTAAAAAAAAAAAAAAAAAGGATTTCTCTAAGTAAATAAAAGTAAATTAGGCAATCAACCCTCACTGGTCTCGTCTCGACTTGGACTCGACCGTCTCTGGTCTCGGACTCGACTCGGACTCGGACTCGACTCTCTATGGACTCGGTCTTGACTCGGACTCGACTCTCTCTGGTCTCGGTGTCGACTCGGACTCGAGTGAGGTGGTCTCGACTACAACACTGATGATATGGAAGAAGAGGGTTTTGAAAGTCTGCTGCTCTAATCCGATGTTCGTGGCTATCTTTACGAGCTGCAGTATAGTTTAGAGCAGCTGAGGCTGATGAAGAAGCAGGAGACGCCTGGCTGTCGCCTGTCGGTCGAGACGCCCGGACTGGGTCGAGCTCGGCGGCCTGCTGTTGCCTGTACTCTCGCTGTGTGTCACGGCCTACGGACACAGAGTCCGTCTGCTGCAGAGAATTTCAACGATGGCAATTTCTCCTGGAGGAAAGCTCTGAATCAGACGAGCACACGGACGTTTGTGTTGCGATATTTTCGCCTTCAGAACATCCAGGTATCATGCAGTAATTCACCATACAGAAATAAATACAAACGCGGAGTAATTCACCAATGTGTTTACAAATGTAACGTAAACTGGGTTTGTTGCTATGGGAAGAAAGAGGCATGAACCGGCGAACATTTAAACATTTTAATAGTAAAATGAACAAAAACAAATCGAAAATAATCTCGATCTGCCGTCGTCGCTCCCCATTTTATGCATTCACTCCTTCGTGAGAGACGCACTGGCGCGCCTCACAGGTGTCTTTCATTATCACTCACGCCACCGGCCTCGCGCAGCACGCCGTCCTCTTACATCCCTCGCCCTCGATCGTCCTGCTCGCCACAGCCAACTAACTAGACATTTTGTTTGAAATGAATTTCAAACTTTTACTCTGGTGACAGCTAATGCTAGCGTTGTAGACGGAAGAGTGAATTCTCTGTTTGCGCTGTTCCGGTGGATGGGTGGGTTAGTGGGTGTGGCTTGCGGAGCTGTGCAATGCAGTGGCATTCTGGGAACTGTAGTTTTTTAACACAAATGCGCCCCTTGGTTATTTTCTGTCTTTTCTCAGTCAAGAGGGCACCAAAAAAAAAAATAATATTTTACATTTTCACTACATATGTGATCCACTTTCAATAAAGATTAATGTTGCAATGGGTGAAATGCTCCTTTAAGGTGGTTGTCAGATGCTAGTTTTGCATCTGAGTTTTGCAACAAGTACAAGAGAAAGAAACCCATACAGAATTCACAGTAAATATATATATATATTTTTTTACCAGTTAATAAGCTCCCATTTATAAATTGAATCTTTAATAAGGCTCAGATGGAGACCCTCCAAATTGACTCTGCTGGGGACAGTGTGTGGCAAATTTACATCCCATATGGATATTTCTAAAATGCTTTCTGGATGTTACTGTAGGCTTTTTGACTTATACATAAACACACATAATGTAAATTGCTTAAAGCATGAAGATGCATTTTATTTCCAACTCTATAGACAGGGGGCCTGAGATGCCTCATTGACTGACTTATAAATCAGATTTTAAAAAATGCCTTTCCACTTGAAGGTAAGACAGAGCTAGTAGAGGATTTCAAAGAAGAGTCTGTTATCATTGATTCTTTGGATGGGTGTTTATGAATTCTGTTTAATGGACATTCACATTAGAAACGGATACACTTAAATGTGGTTCTCTGAAATTGAATCTTAAAATTGTTAAACTTGTCAGATATTGTTTTGTGCACTGAAGTTCTTGTGTTACTTGGAGCATGGTGAAAACTGTCTGAATGCTAATAAGAATGTCAGGGTTTAGAAAACCTGATGTTTACTAATGACACAGTTAATCACTTTGATCGCAGCATAGCTGGGGGCTGCTTATCTTCTGCTTATCGGTGTCACCTCGACCCTCAATTGTTTGAATGAACTTAATGACCAAAGGGTTTGCACAGTTCCCATAGATATCAGCACACAGACACAACATATAAATGGGTTGATAAACCCAAAATATAACATAGAGAGTTAGTAAACAAACATGCTTAAATCATAGATGTCTTACTTGAGGAACACAAAATTGTTGAATACTGTAGGACTCATCCAATGTTTCTGGTAAGCAGAGAGAGAAAGCAAGTCTACAAATCATGGTGGACTGAATTTTGCAATAATGATTTTTGAGATTCTTTAGCATTTCCAGTGAAACATGACACATTTTCTGCCCTTTCCTCTAACAGGAAGCTGCCCAAACTCTGAATATAAGTGACTAACTGCCCCTCAGTGTCTCACAGTGAACCTTTGCCTACTATTAAAGGGATAGTTCACCCAAAGATTTAAATTACCCCATGATTTACTCACCCTCAAGCCATCCTAGGTGTATATGACTTTCTTCTTTCAGACAAATATCAAAAATGTCCTGGCTCTTACAAACTTTATAATGGCATTGAATGACGGATGAGATTTTATAGCCTAAAAATGCATCCATCTAACATAAATGTAATTGCATTGGCTCCAGGGGATAATAAAGGCCTTCTGAAGCAAAGCGATGTGTTTGTGTATAAAATAACTATAACCAACAGACGGCAGTACGCATCGATTTTCAGTGGAAGAGCCCCCGACCTGACACATGACGCATCAACGAACGCGGAAGGACAGAGGATAGAAGAAAGATAGTCACAAATTAGAAGTCTAAAATTAGACTTTTTTAAGAGAAATGTCAGTGATTTGTTGCCCAGCCCTATTTGTTTGAACAGTGAGAGGCATCAAACTTATGCTACTCCTACACTGTGTCAGGCTTTACTCTTTTGGCATAAGTTGACTTGCGTAGGCCGTCTGCCGGAAGCTAGTTATTTTAGTTTTAAAAGTTTTAAATATGGGTATTTTTCTATAGCAAAGCATCAATTAAAATGGCTCCATCTTTCTCCTTTACATCTGATAGATTGAGCCAGAGATGTCTCTCTGTCTTTCTGCCATAGACTGCCCAATAGCTCTAGTGGTCTCCTTGGTGGCCCTGAGTGACAAATCTGTGGCCCGACTCAGTTCTCAAACCGCATTAGGCCCTACCCCCTCCGTC